AACTAATTTCTAATTGAAACCGTAATCGAGGAAGAGTGAGTTGAATATTCAGATAATATCAGATATTTAATATTTTTGTGAATTTTTCGTTGACAAGGGGTTTTCTTTATCTTTGTTGCATTGTCAAGCAATTTGTAATTATTTTTTCTCTTCCAAATATCTTTGAAATAATATTATCTCGCTTTTAAATAAAATGATTCTTTTTTTTAAAGTATTTTTTTTTATCATTAAAGTAAGCATTGTATATATTTCTAACTTTTTACTTATGAAAACTAATTCATTTTAAAAATTACTCCCCATGTCTCGTTTATATAGGCTGATTTTGGTTTTCAAGAAATTAAGAAATCTTATTTAATGTGTGTAAGAATTTGGGCGTGATTCGAATTTCTTATTTGAAGTATTGAAGAATTTTAATTAAAGTGCACGTCAAAAATAATTTAGTTTGGAATGCTATTGGAGTCCTATGTCAAGTTGAAGTTCTATTTTGAAAGTCAATTGGAAGTTGAAAATTTGGTCTCGGACTTGAAGAACAGTTTGGGTTTGAATTTTTTTCTCGGGCAGAGCACTGGGCGTTTTTTTTACGTTTTTCTCTCCTTTTTCGTTTTGGACTCGATTTTTTTGCATCGTACTTCATCAACAACTTTACTAAGAGGATTGTGACGTCCCTTACATGTGTGCCTATAAATATTAGGCCCTTCTATATAATTTTATAAGTGTGAGAAAATAGATTACCAGATTTATATGATTAATTGTAATTTTCTCACTTTTTCATTATTTTTGAGTTAATAAAATCTCTTAATTCTTATACCATATTTTTGTCTTTATTATTCTTTTACTTGATCTGATACTTCATTATTTGTCGTATAACTTCAATAATTCATTTTGGTGGTTGGTTTCATCAAGTAGTGTCCAAACAATACATAATTTTTGTATTTCCAATATTGCAAACAACGATCCGGACATATTAATATTTCTTCTAACAAGAGATATAAAGGCTGGTTGCAAGCCGATATGGGAAGAAATCAGATACTTCAGGTGAAGTAGACATCTTGGCTATTTCTGATATCGAGTTTAAACCAGATGAGGATTTGATTCTTGATTCAGCATGTATGTTTTATATGTGTCTTAATAAGAACTTGTTTACTACATATGAAATTGTTTTCAAATGTGTCGTAATTTTTGAAAACAAAGCATCTTGTCGGGTTGTTAGAATTGGTACGATCAGATTGAAACTTTTGGATGAAAAGTAGAACACTAGCCATGTTCGACATGTTCCGAATTTGAAGAATCTCATCTCGTTGTATATCCTTAATTCAAAATGTTATGAGTTCTTTGGTAGAGGTGGAGTTTAGAAAATTTGTATGGGTGCTCAGGTTGTATTGAAAGGATAGAAAATGTCTCAGTTATACATCCTGTAGGGTCGTGCATAACTTAGAAGAGTCAATCGGTACAGATTCAATACCGTGGTGGATATTCAGTTTTGTACAATACGTTTAGGAGCTCATAAATAGTTGGATTTGAAGAATATGACTCAATGGAGTTCAGGAGATATGAATAATATCGCTTTGCCACCATCATAAAAATTATTTTTTGTCAATAAAATTCATATTTTACCCTTATTTAATTATCAATGATTTGTAATAAATTATTGTTGGAAGTAGTAAAGAAATTGAATGATTTAATTTTTAAGAAGCATGTATCTTTATATTTGTATAATTTCAAAATTAAATGGAAAAAATGGTTATAACTAAACAAATTAAATAAAAGTATATTAGTAAACGAACAAAATATAACATTCTCAATTAAAAAAAAAGATTATATAACTAAGACAAGAAAATAATGGGGCGATGCTAAACGTACTGGGAAAGGGAGGGGGGTCGTTTACAGGCAAGACACTTAGACACATGGGGGAGGGGTGGGTTTTTTGGCCTTTTTTAAAACATGTGGGGCCCGAGGCCTGGCAGGTCCCTGTGAAACGCCCACCTGTACGTGGGGGTTTTTCCACAGAAATGGGTTCTATTTGTGAATTTGCATGAAATAAAGAGAGGCAACTAGTGGATTAAATAAGTGCACCTACACCTACATAAATAATTACACTCACTTTCAAGCACATTTTATGCCAGTGCAATTCCCATTACATCCCACTTCCCATGTACTCATCTCTTCACAGTATTAACAATGAATTCCACTATTATACATAAAAGTTATAAATATATTCCTTTTTATTTAATTTTTATCATCATTTAGTTATAAAAATTTCATGTAAATTTTAGTTTGTATGTGTGAAGGACACCTTGACGATATAAATAAGAAACTAATGGATTGAAATAGAGACTATTTGAGATTCATCGAAGGTGTTAAAAAGTACAAAATTTCCATAGTATAAAATGAAGGCTTCTATTTCATTTAAGTTGACCCTTTTGTGGGGGGAAAGAGTGAGGTATATCCCTTCAACTTTTCCATTTGGACAATGCCTATTTTAGTGTATGAGATGCAATGCATTGGTGTGAGTTTTGTCAGTTGAAAACAACTCCGTCATGTCTTGAAGGGCGATTATTACTATTTAGTTTCTGTTTGGACTACATTTTATTTATTTTTACTTTCAAGAAAGGGGTGATTGTTAAGTGAGTAATACTTCGGATCCTAATGTGTGACTAAAATTTAT